TCCGGTGGCCGCCGGCTCGGGGCCCCGGGTCACGTTGGTGCTGGGGGGTTGTCACCTTCCTCTGCAGTGCGAGGGCTGCTGACCGCAGCTGAGCGTATCTCATCTAATCGCTTTCCCATCACTGACGAACGCGGGGCATTGACCGTGGTGCAGGGGGGGCACGCCTGTTCTCTGTCTTCTAATTGAACACTTGCTGCTTGGTACGTAAAGCATCTTAATGGAGTCAAATGGCCTGTGTCTCACTTGAAGTCAGGATAATCTAAATGGCTTGATTTTTGTGATCTATATTATGTTCTAGAGCAAGTCCTCCAGTGTTCCCTGAAATCCTTTGTGGTGCTTGGAGCCCAGCAAAAGTCCATGAGAAGTCAGGGTAAAATCATGTGTCTGTTGGAGTCTGACTGAGCTTGCACTGACTTCAGCCAGACTTCTGTCTGAAGAGCTCTTGTAGTAGAAATCTGTAGGCGGCAAGAGGAGCTGTCTCTCAAAGCATCGCTCAAATAAGTGTTCTCACTTTCTTGAGTGCTGAGGCTTGTGGGTCACTTTTGGTGGCTCCCCTCAAAGAACTAGGGCAGACCTGTGATGGCTGGCACAGCATCTCAAGTGAGCCCAGCACCAGAAGGTGAGGAAGGTAGCACAGTTTCTCTGTGGGTGCTGTGCTATCTTTGGAATATTATTGCTCCAAAGAAAGAGGCACCCCACATACTCTATCTTTGCATTGGGTTGGCACACCTGGCAGTAAACCATTGAGTAATTTTTGCTGAAACCTTGAGAATTGCTGAATTAAATACCAGCATCTAAAGGAAACCTGGAGCTTGTCCAGAAGAAGAATCCTCTGCACTTTATAGAGCCTCTGGTTTGGAAGCCAGACAAGCCTGATGTGATTTCTAACATTGTAACAACAACCAAAGTAAGTTACCTAATGACATTTGCATCAAGCACAAAATGTCTCTTCAAGGTAAAACATGTCTTTTAGAGACAGTCTTGACTTGAGGTTTCGAGCAATGGAGAATCCACCATATCCCTGGCTGAGTTATTTTAACAGGTAATAGGGCTGTAGGCAGATACTCACATCCTGAGCAAGGGGAGATGTTGAGGATGACACTGCCTCCTGCCTTTCGTCACTTCCTCACTGGCATTTACCAACCCAATAATCCTGTTTGTTCCTGTGAGTGTTCCTTAATCAGCTTTGGGCAAAACCTGCCAGGTTCTGGTTAAATGAGCAGAACTGGCTCAGCTGACTTCTGCCTGAAGCGGGGTAGGGAGCACATGCAGACTGTTGCTCCACCAAACGTGGGGTAGTCATTTCTGGTTAATGTGTTGTGACAAAGACCTAGGAGTAGCAACTTCTTTAGCTGATACAGCTGCCTGCAGCATTGATCTCTATCTGCAGTTTTGAGAGTGGAGTTGCTGAGTGGCCTTTATCTTCCATCCCGCCCCTTGCTTCAGCTGCTCTTAATTCTTGTGGAGATTTGGGATTAATTGAATCTGCAGGAGTTATGAGCCCAGAGCAGGACAGGCTGGTTGTGATGCTGCAATTGTGCTCTTGCGATGGGCTAATGTCAGAGCATCTTCCTCGCTCAGGCACGACCTCATGCATATTTAACTGCTGCTTGCTTCTCCTTGGCCACAGGAGTAGCTTTGGGAAAGCTGCTGAAGAGGCCTATTTCAGGGAGAAGTTGCTCTTGTTTAAATGATCTCAAAAAAACACTGCTTTTATGCTGCAAAAATGTTTAAAACAGTGTAAACGCTGCATGTGCCCAGGTAACGCAGCTTTCCGTGAAGGCTTTCAGTGACCAGGGTGACGTGTGGAGGTGATGCTGTGGCGTGGGGTTTTGACCATGGGGCGCAGAACTGGTGGCTGTATAAGTATGGAATGAATATGGTAACAGAGAAGGGAACGCATCATGTTTTAGTCTGGGGACAAAAAGCAAAGCCTGGCAGCTGCGTTTGCGTCATTTGAGCTACTTCTGAGGAGAGATGAGATCTGTTTGCACCACAGCTGCTCTTTTCCCTTTCCCGCGGGTAGGAAGAATCATTCAGCAGATTCTGTTTCTCTCCCTCTTTTTTCATGTGAAAGTGGCAAACCCAAGTCTCCAGAGAGCTTGTACAACCATTTCTTAATTCATCATGTTTCCTATTATGCAGCTGTGAAAAGCAAATCCTCTGTCTCTCACCACGGGGCCTTGCAAAGCCCAGGCAAAGATAAGGGCAATGCCTCGGCAGGGGGTTCATTTCCAAACAACAGCAGAAGCATCAGAATGGTTTGAGATGCATAATTAATGGCTTGTGTGTCTTGGGAATTCCTTGCACGTGATTGATTGTGCTGGGGCTGTACGTGGAAGCTTGCATGTATATTATCTGTATTTATCCAGGCTGATATCCACAGGAATTTTAGTGGGCCAGAGACCTCCAGGGCACGTAGCTGCTTTACTCCTGGGCAGAGGCCTGATCGCTTTCTGTGCGTGCTTGTTGGAACAATGCTGTGAAACACAATCAGAAATGGGTGCTGAAGTAATTAAAAGCAGTAGATACTGTGTAAATTAAATATTGTTGATTGTATTTGTTTTTCTCCCTCTCTTCAGGTATTTCCCAGCCAAGATCCACTGGACAGAGCAGATTTCAACGCTGTGGAGTATATTAATACTCTCTTTCCCACTGAGCAAGTAAGTAGTGCTTGTGTTATGGCCCTCTCAGTGCGAGGGGTAACCTGATAGTACGTGACTGAAGGCATGTTTAAACCTGTACCCAAGCCTCTTCTTTTAAACAGTAGCACAGGTAGTAAGACTATAACAATAATCAGTTCTTAAATTCGCATCTCAGGAGGTTCAGTGTCATTATGTAGTTTCTTTCCACCCAAAGTGCTTGCTGCAGTAAAAGTCCTGTTTTGATCTGTAGAAATAAATTCATTTTCTATATAGAGCTTTCTCGTGCAGTAGATTTCATAACTTGCTGTCTATTAATCTTTGGTAAATCCTCAGGGGTTTCAGCCCAATAAGGCAGGTGTTGCCTGTGAAGTGTCACTAGAGAGTCATCCATGTTTGAAACCTATTGGGTTTTTTGATATGTAAAGAATGAGATTGCCGTGGGCTCATATCTGTACTTTGTCTTCCCCAAATCAGCCCCAGGGGCAGTTTTGGACTAAGCTATTGCAAAAAGGAGGTGTTTCTGCAGCTGAAGATTGGCTTGTGAGGCAGCTCCAACATTTACTGTGTTTAAGATCCTCTGCAGCACTGGCTTTTTTGGCTTTCAGCTGTTTCTAGTTAGTTTGCTAGTGGTGCTGGCTTGGCTTTTTTCCCGTTGCCAGTAGTGGAGAGCTATTTCCCCTGCAATAACCCCACTACAGCTCCGGCAGCAGCCAGGCCTCCTCCATCCCACGTGCTGCTGAGTGTCCAGGCTCTGCGGGAGGGTCTCTGCCCAGGAAAGACGAAGGCTCTGTCCCCATTGCCCACTGGAGGTCACTGTCACCACGGCGTTTTGGGAGCAGTTCTGCTGACGAGGCAGGGCTCAGGGCACCCTGCTTGCTCAGGGCTGGGTGGGAAACGGGGAGCCTCTGGGACCTGCGGGGCTGCACCCTGGCCTGCCGTGTCTTTTGCTGCTCTTCATTATGTGACCTGAGGAGCAGCTAAGTTGCCGTGTGTCTCAGTTCCTCCATCTGTAAAACGGTGTCATTGCTCTCCTCTTTGTAAAGTGCCACGCATGAGGAAGTGTTAGGTATCACAGCTGATGTGTGTTGCAGTAAAAGGTTCCCCATTTCACTTTTCTTTGTTTTTTCATGTTGTAGTCTTTGGCAAACATCGATGAAGTTGTGAACAAAATCAGATTGAAAATAAGGTAAATGTTTCTCCATTTCATTGCATCTCAGGTGGCAAGTAGTCTGGTTGTCACCAAGGCTTCATAAATATAGCCTTTGCACTGTAGCTGATGGGAATTAATTTGCTTAAAAGGCATGAACAGAGTCAGTCTCAAGTCCAATAGCGGGACAGAGACAAAAATGACTCCCTGTAATTATAATTCTTTTTTATACTTTGCCCCTATTGTATAATACATGCCTTTCAGGTTATTTTAGCTGATGGGTTGCAAAGTAGAGCTTTGAAAAAAAACAATGACCTAAGAATCAACAAGTACCAAATTTTAGTACAGTCTGAAGGCTGAGAGAACAAACTACCCAGAAGATTTGGTTGCTGAAAATTTATTCTGTTTGAGTTCAAAATCGCAATTGTAAAACCTCTCATTTTGTATTTTTTTTATTGTCATTATTGGTACTAAAAGTACAAAATAAATATAAGTGTGCAGGAAATACTTAAATTTTCTGTGCAGTCTGGCATTACCAACCTGAAATGATTGAGACAGCACTTTAATATGTGGAAAGTGGAAATGAAAAACGGACAAGGGAAAACTGACAATATTGCTTAAGGGAAGAGAAATGCAAAAAGCCCTGATTAAATTAGGAAATGGATTTTCATTTTTGCAACAGGAGTTTTAAATTATGTAAGATAGCGATGTCCTACAGAGAGAGAGGGGAAAAAAAGTGAGTTTAGCCTTGGTAGCACCAGCTTTTTTATTTTAAATCTGTTCTGTAGCTCTCAAGGTTCCCACAATTGTTTGGGTCAGGCATGTAGAGAATGAGTTTGACATTATAGATTCTTTTCTCCAGGAGGTTGGATGACAACATTCGAACTGTAGTGAGAGGACAGACCAACGTGGGACAGGATGGCAGGCAGGTACGTGCATCTCATCTCCGGTAATGCCGAGGTAATGCCGCTCTCATTATTAGGGAGCTGTCTCTTCCACTAATGATTTTGCGAGCTGCTCACTGAACAGCTGTTCTAGCCTGCTTTCTGATCACCCTCCAAAGGGAAGTGAATGAGAAATTGATTTAAAAATCAAAAGCAAAACCAGGAGGCTTGCGGTTGTGCCACTCTTAATCCTGTTCATTTTATCATTAGCTTCAATAGGTACAAGCACATTTGCTACTGAGTAAGGATCAATAAAAGGATATTTGGTCTTTTAACTAGGTTGTTTGCTGAAGTATCCTGAGTTGCTATTGACTAAGCCTGATGACTGACTGCCAGTTCACCTTGCATGTCTTACTCAGCTATCAGGTTTTCACTTGTCTTTTGCTTGACAGATGTGTTTGCTCAGAGTACAGTATTGAAGAGCACGGCCATGGCTGCAGTGTTTGTGAGCGCTGAGCTTGGTCCACGTGTTATCTGATTTTGAGGTATCACTCAGTGCTGCTTTATTTCCTGTGTCTGTTCTGTTTTAGACCAGGAACATTAATGCCTTGAATCTTCGGTCATGCTGCTTTCCTCAGTGTCGACACTGACTCATCTTTTTAATACCAGATTTCAGACTAGTTTGCTGGGATGGGGTAGTCATTCCCTCACCAGCATGACTGGCTGTATTTTCCACTTCTTGCTGCAGTAGCCATTGGTCTATATTTCTAATCCTACCTCTACCACAGAGTCCGTGGCCTTGAGTGAATTATTTAACTTATCTATGCCTTTGTATTGCTTTCAAAAAAATGCTTACCTCTCCTAGCAGAACTAGTTTAATGCTTGCATGGTTGCCTGAGTACTGCTATTAAACTGGGGATGTGCTTGGGACGTGGTATATGTGGGAGTGGTGCTGCCTGTAATCACTGCGCAGGGATGAAACAAGAAATCGTGTGGGGAGGCAATTACAGAAACGGAGGAGGGAGTGGAAACTAGTGCAGTACTTGGAGAGTTTGGGTATGATTGGAAAGCTGGTGCTGTTGTAGCCTTTTGGGCCCATTCGAAGTGATGTTCAGAGAAGACCACAAAAAAGTGGGATCGAGAAGAGCTGTGGGTGAGAATTGCCCCGAGTGCCTCGGGACTTGCAGGTCCAAAGGATGAACGTGGTGAGAGCTGAACAAAAGCAGTGCTGCGGTCAGCTGTGCTTGCAAGATAACAAAAGAGTCTCTGTGCTAAGGAGATTCGGCAAGCTTTGTTTAGAGCTTTGCCTTATGTCTGTGCTTGCTCACTCTTTAATTCCTTTGAAGTTCTCCAAAGCATGTACAGACGGATTTGGACAGTATCCTGCTTGAAGTACTGGGGAGGCAGATCTGTCTGTGCAGCCCTTCATTTAGTTTGATTGTAAAGGAACCAGTTAAACTCCTGTCCAAGTAAAAACCTTCAAACATGCATGTGTATGTGGCGTGTGTGTGCGGGGCATCTTTCAAGTGGCCTGGAGCTGCAGTTAGTCACAAATATTCCTGTATTTAGCTGTGAATTTTCCCATTTTCCCTCACTTTGCTGCTTTGCAAGGTAGAAGCAGACTTTAAGACACACGCCAGAGCTTGCAGTTGCACGGACTGCATGAGCTAAGGCCAGACAGTCTCCCAGAAGCGTAACAGTTGTTTCTTACTTTAAGAGATCCTAACAAATACCGAAACCATTCAATTTTTGAAAGTGTTAGTTTTCTGGTAAGAAAAATTGTTTGAATCTGAAATGCTGTGAGCTTTTTCTTTCTGCGCTTCTAATCCAAGTCCACTATTTCACACTTGTATGTGCATTTCATTCTGCTGGAACCAGACTGTTAGAGTGGCAGGACTTGGCTGGGTCTCGAAGTTTAAAGCAGTAAAGAAGCGTCAGCAAGCTCAGGCCTTGCATGTTAGCTGGTCGGAGGGACCCGCAGTGGAAGAGGTCATCTTACGGTGCTGGGGAATGCTTGAATTGCATTTCAGTTTGAATTTTGTATTTGGCTCCCCAGAACCAGACAGAGGAAACCTAGAAGAAACATTTGCTGTTCTGTCACCCCTTGCACTACTTTTGCCGAGTAGTTTATCCTGTGCGCTAGCTGGGGGAGTGAGGCAGCCTTTTTCACATGACCACTCTGTTGATACCCGATTGTGGGGGCGAAAACCTTGCTTTTCATTTTCAGCTGCCTGTTCCTGTGCTGAAGAGTGCCTTTGTTTTACCAGCATGTTCTCAGTGGAATGAAGGACACTTAGAAATGTTAACTTTTTATAGAGCAAGAGGCCTGGCTTCTCCCACTTGGAGAGGGAGGGTTTCATTTTCCAACGTATGGTAAGAAATTCTTTTGAAACAACTGAAAGCAAGGTGCCTTTAAGACAAGTCAGTGCTCTGCTAGGAAGGGAGTCAGTGCTACTGAAAGGGGCTTTTTTGCTTATGTACCTTGTCTGATAGTAGTTTGTAGTTTGGTCCCACAATAAAATTAGTTTCTTTCTTCTACTGATCTCCTATTCTTATTAAATTTGTAGGAAATTTGTATCCTCAAGACCAATATTTCGCTGCAAAATTTGATTGAAGCATACACACGGATAGATAGTGTCATCCTGTGAAGCCCAGGCTGAAGATCGTTACTGCGTTTTGTCATACTAACCACAATTGCAAACCACCCTTGATTAATAAAGAAACAGTTGGCAACTAGCTTTTGCAATAGGTTTGAAACAAAGCTTAAAACCAGCCACAGCGAAAAGTTTAATCTTCAGATACCTTTTCCTATTTATAACTCTTTCTTACCATATGAGATGCCTGTAGCCTGTAGTATGCAGTACTTGTAGCAGACTAGCTTTTGAAAAAGCCATTCTTGTCTTTTTGACATATTTCCATCCCTTAACACACTGAGAAGAATGATGCAATCCATCGTGTGCTTGAAAGTGCATGCGTGTAAATAAAAATGCATATGAACTCTGATGTTGCAGCTGCTTGAATTTCAGTGGGAGCTCAGGATCTTGTGTATTTATTGCAAGATTGGACCTGGAAGGTGTTTTGCAAAAGCCTCTTGTCTTCAGTCACATTCTCTCCTAACAACTCACGATGCAAGCTGTAATCAGCATTTGCCAGAATTGCCTGACTGCATGGTATCAGAGCTAGAGGAGCTGTTCTTGTCTGGAGGGTAAATAATAGTTTTCATAAACATCCTTTTGATCTCTGACTTCCTTCCAAAGGAAACATAAACCTCAGATGCAGTGGTAGAATTAAAAAAAGTTCTTGTTTAAGTCAAAGCAAGAGGAGGGGTTTCCCTGCTGAGCCCCTGCTCTCAGTTGTCTATGTTAGCTGTGCCCTGCCTGCCTCGGCTTTGCGTGGGGAGGCAGAACCGCACACATGAGCGGTTGCCATCCCCTCACCTTGCAGGCGAGGGAGCACTGAGTGCCGTGGGTGCAGAAGCTGATTCAGGAAGCTCGTCTTTGGCTTTTCCATTTCCCGTCAACATTAACTGCCAAACACGGGCTTGGGAATCTCATGTAGGCTGTTGGTTCAAGTGCTGCCCAAATGACTGGGACGTGGGACCTGCCATCAACCTATCTAATCTCTGGTTTTTGGTAGCGTTTTTGAAGACCAGTGATACCAGGCAGGTTCCTAGAAGACGAACGAAGGGTATTTAGCCTTTAACAGCTTGCTTTCTTTTTGGGGAAGGGGTCATTTACCAACTGAGCCCAGCAAAGCAGCTTTCCCTCTTGTGTGGAGGAGCAGTGCTTTACTGAGCCTTGTTGAGAGCTGCACCTTTGCGGCTGTCCAGGAGAGGGGAGCCCAGCCTTGTTTTTGAGACCAGGGTAACGTTCTACTGATCATTGCTGGTGAGGGAGTGCTGCCAGCGGAGACGTGTCTGAATAGTGCTGCATGTTATTCTCCCAGATAGAGCGATCTAAATCCCAGTCAGACCCAGTGGGGAATATGCAGTATGCAGCTACGGGAATGTGCTCTCTGTGCTCCTTAAGGAAGAGAAGACCTTAGGGATAGCAAGTTCAAAATCCTAATTGCAGATCCAGCCACTGTACTCCCTGTGATCGAGTCTCCTCTCCTGTCTGGCTGGTAATGTGGCAGTGGTGACGATGGGGATAACACTTCTGTGCTCCACCTGGGTGCCAAGATGATTGAGCAGGTCTTTGAGGTGAATTGTAGGTATGAGAAGGAAGTAAGAGTAGCTTTTTATAGTCAGTCTTTAACTTTTAAACTGTTTCCCAAATAGTCTTGATCACATACACATGTTCATATAAAATAGTAGTTAGGTGTCTGAAAAAGCAGATTCTAAATCCAAAAATAAAGTCGATCAAATCGATGTGGCCCCAAAAGAGTTTTTTAAGCAGCTCTAAAGACAGGAATGCTCCCTTCTCCACAAAGCATAACGTTTCCCAGTTCAAAGCATCTGCCTTTTTGAAATTTTGCCCTAGAATTTCCTCCAAATGCAAAAGCCTTAAAATAGTCTGGCTCATTTGGCTTCCCCTTCCTGGTGCGATATTTCAGTAAAATCTGTAGACAATACCATGAACTTCAGAAATTATCTCACTAATGATCCTTTTATGGGAGGAAACAACAGTCGTGGGTGGAACATTCCTCTGCAGGGCGTAACAAAATTTTCCTTGGGAGTCCCAGACTTGGGCTATTTCAGATGCCTTGGGAGAGGCTGGGAATGCAGGAGCTGCTGTGGTTCAGTTGTAACAATATGCAGTTCAAGCTGCGCCTGCAGTTTCTGGGGAGCCAGTGCTATCCGATTTTTCCTCTGTAAGGTTTTTCTCAGAGCTGCTGCTGAACTGGAGTCTGGGCTGACCTTGCTAAGAGCTGCAGTCCAGTTGTGGCATAATTTCCTCTCTGCCCTAGGGTGTAGTATAAAAAGTTCCCATAGATTTTTCCACTGAGCGTTTAACGCACTCCGTACATTTTTATTTGTCACTCTTTAGTTGTGTTTATTGCTAAACCTTCTGCATGGACTGGCTGTAATTTTTTTGACAGTTGCT